AAAAAAAGAATGTAATGTAGAAATAATTGATTGAGGTCAATTGTGTATCTTAAATGAGTAAAATTACAAAGTGAGCGAATTCACTAAAATATTTATAATTTTATTAGTTAATACTTAATGAATTTGTTTACTTATGTAATTTCCACCTCGTTTAAGGTACACATTCGACCTTTAGAAAGAAAACGCTTTCGCAGACCGGAAAGTCGGTAAAGCCGGAATCAGACTACGCATTGAAGATTGAAGGAGATTTGGGCAATGAAGACAAAGAAATTTTAACTCCTATTGTTTTTTGATCGGTCAAACAACAATCTTTCCATCACGAGTACAGTCTGATTCCGGCTCAAGGAAATTCATCCGTTGGCGCCGCGGCGCGTCTTCTGCTAGGCCTGCCCCCTCCCCCCAGCGTCCCTCCTCGTGCTACTTGCGGCTCACATGACCCCGTGCGCAGAGACTCGCGCAATTCGTGGGGGTTACGTAACGTGCGAGGCATCGCTCTATCCCGTTCCTACACGCGCTCTTTTCGATCGCGCGCTCTCTCCTCCTCGCTCGATGGAGACCGGCTTCGCGTTCGATGAGCCGAACGACGAAGCGAAAAACGGTCCCGACGATCCGTGAAATGTCTTCGTCGGGACACGAGATGAGACCGGCGTTGTTCCTATCAAGGATTACATAACGCTCGCGGGCCAGAACACGAGCGAGTTCTTGCCCGCGGATTAACCTTAAAGGAAAGACCGTGCGACACCCTCGTGGAGCGCGCGATGCCGCACGCGATAACTTCAGATCGGTACTGACCGGTCACCTTCGCAGCCTCGTGCACCTGATCGCCGTTCAGCAGGGGTATCTTCGCGCTGCCGGTATCCCGTTCGGACGTGTCGATCTGTGCGCCGACTGCCATTTCCTTGGACTTGGACCACTCCGGCGATGATGAAAGAAATAACGATGACGGTGACGACCAGGGTGTAACGTGACAACGTGGTTTTCTTGTTTCTCTGTGTTATTCCGACTACCTCTTCGCTCTCTCGCGCGAGCCTCGTTCTCTCCGTCCGTTCTTTCACTGTCCTTGCTGCGATTTACGGTCACGCGCACGCACGCCCTTTTGAATCGTTCGTCCGGGACGGAAAGCGACGACGACGTCCGACTTTTTCACGGGGCGGCAGACTACTTCAGCGCGCGCGAATCCTGCGGCCCGCACGTGCGTTTCGAATGGTCTGCGGCAAAGTTCTGCGGCACGGCCGGCGATTGGTTCGTCGCGGCGATCCGCGATTGGTCCGCAGTACTTATTCGCGATTGGTCCGTCGGTGTTGCGCCTACAACGATGCGTTTTCGTGCGCACAGCTAACAAAATCACTAGAAAACGATCAATTTAAAAAACTCTATTTGATATATATATATATATATATATATATAT